ATTTCCTCTACACTTATTCTGAGCTACAGTTTCGTAGCCGCTACGCTCATGTCTAAGGTGGAAGCACCGGTGACTGATCTCGGGCCGCTACTCTACTGTAGGTATGTAGACGACTGCTTTGTCCTTTGCTCAACACAAGAGGAAATAGACAAGTGTTTCAAGTTGTTGAATAAACAGTCAGAGTATATCAAGTTCGCCCGAGAAAAGCCGAAAGAAAAATGGCTTCCATTCCTGAACGTCTAAATTAACCTNGGACAAAGCAGTCGTCTACATACCTACAGTAGAGTAGCGGCCCGAGATCAGTCACCGGTGCTTCCACCTTAGACATGAATGCGATGGCAAGGCTTGGGGCCAGTCGTTGCCCCATTGCCAACCCTCTTATTTGAGCGTAGTACTTTCCAGACCATCTGAAGATTGAGCAGCTCAAGCATTCTTTTAAGAGTGCCATCAGGTGCTCTATCCTGAAGCCATACATGTTTATTTCTCCTTCGTGTTGTGTAAGGAGTTCGAATATGGCTTGCATTGCGGAGTCATTTGATACGTTTGTATAAAGGGCGGTAACGTCGAAGGACTCCATCACGCACGCACTGTTGGGCTGCGCAGTACGTAGACGATCCAGAAACATCTGGGTATTCGTAAGATGGGCTGGAATGTGTTTCAACAACTGGTTAAATATCAGAGTTAAAAACAAGAGAGGCTCAACACAAGAGGAAATAGACAAGTGTTTCAAGTTGTTGAATAAACAGTCAGAGTATATCAAGTTCGCCCGAGAAAAGCCGAAAGAAAAATGGCTTCCATTCCTGAACGTCTAAATTAACCTGTCAGACAATGGCTAAATTACGAAGTGGTACCGAAAGCCAAGTAGTACAAACATCTTGGTTCATTACCTCTCCTCTCACCCCTCTCTCACGAAAGGGGCGCTTATAAGAAACATGTTTCGAACAGCAACCAACGTGTGCACGGTAAGAGAGCAGAGAGAGGATTCCCGGAACTTGGCACGGCAAATAGCCATTTCTAATGGCTACGAAACTGTAGCTCAGGATAGGTGTAGAGGAAATCGTAGGCCTCCAAACGACAACTCTAGCGATAGAAGGGTCCCGTTTATCCTACCNGAACAGCAACCAACGTGTGCACGGTAAGAGAGCAGAGAGAGGATTCCCGGAACTTGGCACGGCAAATAGCCATTTCTAATGGCTACGAAACTGTAGCTCAGGATAGGTGTAGAGGAAATCGTAGGCCTCCAAACGACAACTCTAGCGATAGAAGGGTCCCGTTTATCCTACTTTTCGTCTCAAATGATATAAGTACAGCTATAAAACGCTGCTTAAGAAGAGCGGGTTTAAAGAATTCGGTAAGTGTAGTTGAGCGTAGATACCACCGAGTAATCTTAAGCGCTAGCTAGTTCGTAACCGCCTATATGACCGTCTATGTGCAACTCAAAACTGCATAATTTGCCCTAGTGGTAGAGACGGTGATTGCATGAGCCGGGTATAGTTTATCTGATCTCCTGTAAGACGTGCGGTGACGAATACATTGGCGAAACGGGTAGACCCCTCTGTGTCCGCATAAAAGAACACCTAGCCGGCAAACATAGACCAAATACACCGCTAGGCACGCATAGGACCCAGAGATATAACGGGGACGACTTTGAAGTATGTGTCACGATCCTCGCAAGCGAATCAAGAACACAGGCGCGAGAAACTCTCGAGGCACTCTGGATTAATTCCAGAAATCCGAAAATGAACCGCAGGGAAGAATGCCTCATTATCACGCGTGATATAGGGCAGTATATAAGACTGCTATTCTGATGGGAGGGGCACATTATACTTCCATGTGGTTTCTGTGCGGTTGGTCTCTAGGTGACATACTTAGTGGAAACCTCATAGAAAGCGGTGAGTGTGCAAAGCTGTGTTCAACGTGATTGAAATCTTGGTTTGGAGTTTCTTTGTTTGGTTATGGAGGCATCTGGCCGAGTGGATTGCTGTCAACTTGACCTTTCCAGGCTCTGAGGAAGGCGAAATCTGCCGAAATGTCAGCTTATTCGTAAATAAAGAACAATAACACCTCGCGTTTGCTCAACAAAAACACGAAGAATTACTTCTATTTACTATTATGTGGTCTATTTCGTTATGGTACTCTCCATTAGGAGATTCCCACGTCCAGCGTTGAAAGGGGGGCATATGGAATTGCGAGTTATCATGCGTGGTCTTGGTCGTTATAATAGACTCAAATAGCCGCTCAATCTGTTCGTTTTGTTCGAACCCTTAGTTCCCAATATGACTTTCTTTCAAAGTTCTTCCTTGTCCATTCTTAGCTTTGAAATCTTCAGTGATGACCTTGAAGAATGAATGGCCTTCTCTGTAGAACTTCCCCAAATCTACGTAGAATGCTTCGATGTCGTTTTCTTCAGAGTTTGATGTCGATACCCACATTTCTTCCATCGTGGGTGTCCCATTCTGCTTGTTAGTTGTTCGAATGAATCAATATCCAAGCTAAACACATGTTGACGAGAACGCCGACGTCGTCGACTTCCCTACTGCCGCATGCTACGAGGAACAATTCTTCTCTAGTATCATAAATAGCATTGAATGCGCGGCGTCTTCTCGTTTCGGCTAATCCGGTGATGTCATAGATTATCCTTCCTGCCTACATTATCAAGTCCTGTAATGAGGATACAGGAGCAAGTGTTTGCGCACTGTAGGTACACACAGTCACACAGTCATCTTGGTTTTTTTTCTCAGATTTAGACAGTCTAGAATCGCTCTGAGATTTTGTGAGCCTGCCAGTGCTCGTCCTACTCAGTGCTGCCGTATCGAGACCCTTTCAGTGCCAGAAGAATGAGGCCCACTTGTTTTGTGGTTTGATACCCACATATAGCTTGGTAAGCTCTGAACGCCGGAGTTGGGTAATCTCACAGGTAACTTGCCAGTTTTTCCGTATATAAACTAGAACCTAATTTGCTGGAGGCGACGCCGAACTTCCTACCATTTATATTTTCTTGCCACCTGGCTGCAGCTTTTGCCTAAATTGACTCGTGGAATGCAATCCGCATAAGCGAGAACGCATTAACGCACGCATGCATCAATATGCCTTTGTAAACTCAGACCGCATTTGTCCAATCGACGCAGCAGAAGATAGGGTTCCATCCCATGGATCCACTTGCTTCTCGTGGAAGCATAAGGTTGATTTTGATACTCGATGAACTCCCTACCTACCACTCACCTAGAGCCGCACCACGTTGCCTCGGTTCTAACGGAGAAGGGATGATGGAGATCCGTGGTCCCACAAGTTTAGGCGCGATTTTTTGACCACTTTGCGTCAAGGACAATAAAGAACGTTGCTGATAAAAAGAGTACTTCATTTCCATTTTCTTAGATAACCTGCGTACAGGGCAAAAAGCTAGTCTTCGTCTTATGCCGAAGCCGTCGGAGATTAGAGATCGTCAGAAATATGTCTAAGCGTTACGCGCCAACGTTACCTCGTTGGGGCACATAAGAAGTTAAAATGGTGTTCGCTTTCAACTTTGAATCAACGTATGTGAGCTCATGGAGATTCTTATTAACTATGATGAAACCATTAGAGTCCAAAAATCTTTACCTAAAGGATATAAGTTCTCTTGTTTCATTATACGAAATGTTGACTTTGTGGAGTCCACAACACATATTTCCTCCACTCTATTGCTTCACGGCTCACAGTTAGAACACGAAAACGGATGAATTAAGGCGTTTTCGACCGGTATGATAACATGGTGTCCACCAGTGCATCATTTACCGTTACAGTTGATACTTTTCCAGGTCAACTAACTTGACTGAAGACTTGGTGCGCCATGGGCGCGGGGATCGATTCCACGCGTGCGTCGCAGTGGCGCTTTCAACCACTGCGCCACACGCGCCCAAATAAAATAGGTATCAGAATAGAAAAAAATATATAAAAAATGGACGATGGAACCGACCTTAGTGGCAACTGGAAATGTCTTTCCGTTGCAAATATTTGAGCTCTCTGACTATTTTACAATGGTGAACGCTTAGAAATGGTTCGATGCAAAGCTGACATGGGATCCAAAGAAATATGGTGGCTTACGGACTCTACATATTCCAAGTGACCTCATATGGACACCAGATCTTGTACTCTATAACAAGTAAGTTGATTTTTTAAAATTTACGTAGAGGTATTAGTGGACATCGGAAGCTGTCGAATAATAAGATGATGCTGAGATATTTGCAAAACTCCGGACCGCAGATGTATGCGGTGGGGAACGAACGCGCTATTGTCCTTTCGAGGAGTAACGCGTTCACCACCACACCACGCGGGTCCTTCGTTTCGCCTGTCTCTCAGCTGGCTCTTTTGGATTGCTGACGGTACTGATCGATAGAACTAGCTAAGATACAGCACACTAACAATATTAAGAGCGCTACCCTTACGTAATCTCGATGACCAGTGATTTACAACATGGGCTATTCCAAGATGAAGCTTTGTAGAACGCTTACCCATGCCATCAGTGGGATCAAATACCGCGAGCACTGAAACGGTCAAAAACGTTAATGGAGCTGAGGCTGAAGTCGAAATCACAATCTTAAGCTTTTTATTTACTTCCTACTATAATTTTTAACGGCAGGCTATCATGTGAAATACAACTAAGGTGATGCTGAGATATTTGCAAAACTTAACTTAACTAGGTTCGTTGCCGATTTGGGCTCCTTAGACCAGCCCCGTTGACGGGTGATTGCTGATCGCGCCGTGCAATAGAACTAATTGAAAGACAGGCGAAACGAAGGGCCCGCATGGTGTGGTGGTGAACGCATTACTCCTTGGAAAGGACAATATCGCGTTCGTTCCCCACCGTAGGCTCCTACAGTGCAGAGTTTTGCAAATATCTCAGCATCGTCTTAGTTGTATTTCACATAACACTCTGCCGTTAAAAATTATAATAGACAGTAAATAAAAAGGTTAAGATTGCGATGTCGAATAATAATATTCAAAGCACTTTCAAACAGAGATTGTATCCTTTCGTTTAGTTTGAATGCATCCTGCTTTTGAGGTGTTAAATTTCTGTACGTTGCCAGAGTGATATTACAGATAAATTTGCTTTAATTGGAATGCTAAACTTGCTATATTTGAACAGATAGTGATTTTAGCGCCGCCGGAGATCCTGACATAACTATCCTTACCGACGCTCTGGTGACATATGAAGGGCATGTGTTCTGGCAACCTCCAGCGATCTACAAATCCTTTTGTCCAGTGAACTCCATACTGATTTCTTTGTCGTACATAGATCATCCAGCAAGGATCTTCGTTTTTAGATCGACGTGACATGGTTCCCTTATGATTCGCAAAAATGTGAAATGAAATTTGGTACATGGACGTACACCGGCCGTTACGTCGATTTGAAGCAACTACCCAAAGGTATAGCATAGGAAGCTAGAACCAACATTTTGACTCTTTAAACTCGATTTCTTTCCATTTTAATTTCATGGTTTTACGAATCACATCATTTCAGAAGGCGTCGTAACCATGCGAATGGACGGAAACGATGTAGAGTATATGCAACGTGGAATGGATCTCAGTTTTTTCTATAGGTCTGGATTTTGTTGATATTTACTACTGTATGCGACTTGTTAACTCATTATGCTTTCTTTTTAAGCAATCTGACTCAAATTCTATTGTGGATCACCACACATCTTTCATTCGATCCGTTTCCTCATATCTATTATCCACAAAGGTTTTCGAGCTTTTCGCGTGTACGTTCGGCTGACGCCTACGGACTCTCGTCTTCTTTGTGAACGTCTTTGAATGTTGATCGATTCGATTCTTCTTAAAGTCTTGCAGTAGCAGGGTCAGAGTGTTTTGTCTCGGATTTTAGCGAATGAACTGTTCCCCGACAAGTCTGGTACCAATTTCACGACTCTGAAGGGATGAAAAACTTGTTGAGCTCGGGGCGGGATCAAATCAGCATTGTGCTTTCGATGAACGGCATTGCTACCACAATATGCTTACTCTCTTGGAGGTACCAAGCAGTAAAAACTTAACGACTTTATTTCTTATTACAAATGATGGTAATCAAGAGTAGTTTTTCAGTGGAATCACTCTGTATAACCACTTGGGCTATCATTGTTCAATTGATAATCCTTAAAGATTCCTGATTCCTTATGTTACCGTGAAACTCGGTATTCTGAAGATGCTTGAAAATCACCAGTTCGCTTGTCACTCATGTACCTTGTGCTCATGGATACTGCTGTATTAACCATGTAAAATAAAGTTTTCCGTAGGCATGGAAAATAAAACCTTGATTATCACTCAAGTTACAATTTCTCATTCATTAGAAACCCTATTACTTCACTCTTTCCATTGTTTCTCCTAAGCACAGAAGTCAAGCTACGTATAATTTTGGATACAATATGTTTCTGTGCAAGTCTGTTATTTACTAAAATTGGTAGGTAACTTTGTAGGGCTTATCCCTCTTCATTCCGTAACCATTCTTCTTTCTTCTGTGTTTGAATTTGCTGAGGATATCCTGAGGATAAAGGTATTTCAGATCTGCTGAATGGGATTTACTATCGCTGAGTTCAGAGCGGCATTCTGTGTTATATGCGTCATGTTGTGGTCCCGAGAAATACGTTGATATAACATATTATTTTGGTTTAAGGTGAAGGTTTCTTCAATTTCCATATGAAATCTCCTAACTATAGAAGTTTGGCATTTGTATGAAACTGGGAAGCAATTGTGGACTTTAGGAGGAAAACTCTATTTTTCACGTGCAATCTTATCATTCCATGCTTTCTCATTTCTATTCTTACTACCTTCGTCTTTTATCTTTCTGATCATAAAATAACATTCTCCATCAGCATACTTGTCACATTGACTGTGTTTTTCTTGGTGAGTTTCTTTTCTATTATTCTTCTTTATTATTTCATATATCTTCGTCTGGATGGTTTGCTTGAATTATTTTTATATGTTCAATTAAAAGAAGGTGAGCTGTAGCAGCAGAATCTATCTCTTTTAGGTGCTCATCGATCTGATGCCTCCAACATCACTTGTTATTCCTATGTTTGGTCGATATCTCATTACAACTATGATACTTGTAGCTCTTTCTACCGTGGTTTCTGTAGTTACAGTCAATTTTCGATTTCGATCCGGCTCGGCACATAAAATGTCACCGTGGATTCGGGCTATTTTTCTTAACTTTCTACCAAAGTGAGCTACACTATATTATTCACTTCGGCTTAACTAGTCGCTTTCCACGAGAAACTCTTACAAATACGTTTCATGTGCTCACAGTGCATAAACACGTAGATATTATCAAGCATATTAAGTGTCAAAACGGATTCCGTCTACTCTTACAAAGTTTCAGGGTTCTTTTCATGTCTCGTCCTCTGAGGAAAGATTCACCATCGTCAGCATTGGCTGACAGCTTCTCCTTGACTGGGAGAGATTTTCGTAAAGAATCAAAGGTTAATGAGCGAATCCTAAGCTTCAAAAAAAGATAGTTCACAGGTTGTGAATGATTAATAGATCTTTGCAGAATTCCACTCGGACTCAAAACATCAATTCAAGACTGACGATCCCACCATATCCACGTCATCTGGGGGAGAAACGAACTTTTCAGGGCGTATTAAACAACGCTCTTGATTTTAAAAGGAGTGAAGACGAAGGACGAATTAGAAGCGTAAAGCATTTGACTCTTCTAGCAAACGCTCTCTGATTTTCGCCAGTTATCGGCTTGAGATCAACTAAACGAGAAAATTTCACAGCAATAGAAAATTAGTTATTAACCGCTTACTTGGCTGCATTACACAGTTTTCCTTAGATTTGTTTTCAACAATTATACTCATTTCTGTGATTTCAGTCCACGAAGCCGTTTGCCTGGGATCGCCCTACTATTGCGGCCCCTACAGTGGCATTTCGAAAAACAAGAAAAACTAAAGGACATGATGATATCATATTTATAAATCTATTGCAACAAGTACGTTTTATTGCGGAGCATTTCCAACATAACGAAAAGGAAAGTGAGGTGAGATAACTGAACAATCTCTGAAGGTTTCCTGCCAACTTTTTACAGCTGCTAGGTTTTGTAGATTTCTGACGACTGGACCTTTGTTGCGATGGTATTAGACCGACTCTTCTTGATTATATTCTCTGTCCTCAACGTGGGAACGATGTTTATTATATTAGAAGCACCGTCGCTTTATGACTATTCTGAAGCAATGAACATTACCCTCCCTACCAAGCCTCTTGGACAAGCTAATCTGTACAGCAGTCATTCTCAGAAATTATAACAGAGCGTTTCTACATTGTTTTCAATAAACAATTTGAACTACTTTATAGTTTATGAGACATGTGAGCGATGAACGACAACGTCATCTATTGAGCGTCGTTACGAAAAAGATTCCAACAGTATATCCTTCCTGACCAGATAAACCCATAACTGCGATATACTCAAATTTACGTGGCAACGGACAGACAAATCGGCTGCGGTTACGAAGAAGCTCACAATTAACGCTGCCGACTTCTCGACAACTTCTGGACTTGAGTGTATGAAAAAGCCATAGAGCTCTTCAAGAGAATTTTCTCTCTCGCTATAGAATTGTGGGTATAACTACTTACTATAGTTTGCTGAGGTTCATTTTTTAACTACAACACTGTCAGCTTTCGCAAATATTTCGTAATTTACGTCAAATTCATCTTGTTATTCATTAGACGATAGACGAAAGACATCGTTCATCATTTGTATTGGCAACAAAGCGCTAGCCAATAAACGGAAAATAACGGTAAAGGTTTGAACTTGACATACACGGCGTCTCCACCAGGAAGCCTAGCTAAGAGCAAACCAATACCAGGATCCACCACTGTCTTGGTATCAAAGTGGCATGATGATAAATCTCCTTCTGATCCACAAGGGCTGCGCCAGTCTGTTGTGGTGATGACCTGGGGCAGACTTTGGCCAGACTGTCTTCGGAATTCTAGGGAACCACAATGACTTAACCAGCAAATCTCCGGTAAATGGTGATTATGCTGGGGTCCAAACAACTAGTGATGACGGGCCGTTCAAGTATCAAGTATCAAGTAAGTAATGGAAGATTCCATAGAATAGAAATGAATACCTATCGACTCTTCATCGAAGTTGACAGCGAAGAAGTACAAGAAGTGGAGGACAATGTAGAACCACCTGCGCATTTTTCTGAATACTCTGGCAAAAATAACTTGAAAACTGAGTACAGTAATGGTGATCATGAATGTGAAGTCAGCGGTGAATGCTCGAGCAGTGTATACCTTCTTAATCACTGGATCTCCAAGTATAGTCACTGTTCCGATATATTTTAATAAAGAATTTGTGGTCAACGTTTGAGATCTGGTTTCAATCGAAATGAACAGATCTGCAGTATACAGGAATAATGCATGGAAAGAGACAAGTCCCGACAAGATGAGAAATTCATTAGTCTCTACCTTACGATGACAATTACTAGAAGTCCATAGCTGCCCATAATTGAGATTATTGGACTTGCATTACTGCTTGTTCACGCCGTCAAACTGTATTCCATTTTACAACAACAGATACATAGTTTCCATATTTATTCGCTATAAATCTTTTATGCCTTTGTGCCCTCAATGGTCTGTAGGCTTGATGGTTGTAAATTCCAATTAGCTACGGTGGTGAGACACTTGGAAGAGAGTCCTATCACGAGTTGCTCACATCGTAGTTAAATTTGCCTTACAATTCCAATTCAACCGTGTTGTGCCGTCCAATGTCTTCTCTTAAAGCCCAATGGGCTTAAGGTTAGTGATGTTTGCGGGAAGTTTTTCTTTGACGTTCCTGCTATAGATGCCAGCATACACTGAAGAAAGACTTTCACTAAAGATTAGTTTAGAAATGCCTTCCGTCATGTAATAAAGTAGTAAATAAGCGTCATTAATAATGCTGACCGACATCACTAATTAGGAGAGATCGCCGTCGATTTGCATTAAAACTCTGTTATCTTATCGGGAAGGTTTAGTATTAAGATCCCAACTTCGAAATGACGAATGGCTTGGTTTACCTGGAGAAAGGAATCAAATCTAACATCGTATTGTAATAAAGAGCAACCGTAACCACTGCGCTGCACGAACCCTCTAGCTTGTTTATGCGGGTTATTGACGCCCGCTTCCGTAAATAAGGACCACGTCTATTTCGTTAGAACGCGAGAATCTGCGCGTGATTATATGTAACACTCCATAACAGATCCTGAAATTCTCCACGGCCGGTGCTCTCTAAAATCGTAAGTGTGGAAACAGCAAAAGAAAAGTGTAGTACTCGGTGTGCAAGAGCGAGTGGAGACTATTGGATAGTTGTGCACAACAATGTCAGCTTGTCAGCTCAAATCATGGTGAGCTGGAGCAGATCATACGGGTGACAAGCAAAGTTGAATGCGACCAATGATAAAAACGTAGATGGTAAAGCTCTCGGCGTTGATCAATTCCTAAGAGATGTGCCAATCATTCGACTTCATTAAGAGTCGTTTGGAGGTGATTGAATGCATATCTGGCCTTTACACTCCTAGACAAGTCTGGTGCCAAATTTGCCGAGCCTAGAGGGATGGAGGTTTAATGGGCCAGGGGCGTGACGATCAACACTATGTCTGTGTTGCAGGGCGCCTCCGACCACTGTGCCAGACGCGCCGTTATCGATTCATGATAGTTTATAAATTTTATATGAATGTAATTCTCAAGACTGACTTTCTGCTAACTTTGGCACTTACAAATAATTCCCCTTTACTTGCTGAGCAAACACGAGATTGTTAGCAAACTCTTTATTAATAAAAGTGGACGCTTCGGCGGATTTCGCCCTTTTCAGAGCCAGGAAAGGTCAAGTAAACTGCCAGCTAGTCACCAAAATACGTCCACTACCGCAAAATAAAAAGCGACGATATCTAGATCCTATTCTCAATAGGAGAAAAACAGTTTCTTCGCACAATCACCGCTTTCTATGCGTCTTCCAGTAATTATTCCAAGTGGAGAACAACCGCATAGAGTTCACATGGATAGGTAAAGCGCCTCTCTCACATTAAAATATCAGTCCGAGACATCATATGAGATCACGTGTGATTACCAGGTATTCTTTCCTGAAATTCATTTTCGGACTGCTGGAATTTGTCAGAACTCTTTAAGAGTTTTGCACGGTGAAGTTTTAGATTCTTGTACGAAGATGGCAACTTCTACGTCCAAAATCTTCGTTATTTCTGTGTCCTAGGCGCGCTTAGTGGAGCATTTGGCTTAACTTCAAGATTACCCACTAGGTGTTCTTTCATATCGACAAATACTTCTGTTAGTTGGCTATTGGTAGCATTTGATGATGTAGCCGCCTTCGGATAGGTTAATCCGAGGGTTCACAAATGAAGGCCGGTTTTTCTGGCTTCTCTCTGGTGGATTTTATGCACTTTGACTACCCGCTCAACAGTTCAAAACATTTGTCCATCTCTTGCGTGGAGCAGATAATAAAGCAATCATCTATATATCTAAAGCAGAGCAATGGCCGTTGATTGAATAGTGGTGCTTGCTCCTTTGACATTAAGACAGTGCCAGTCGCTTTTCCATTGCTAACCCTCTCATTTGTCCATAATATTTTTCGCACCACCTGGATTGAGTAGTTTAGGCACTCTTTTAGGAGTACCATGAGCTGCTGAATTGAGATGCCACTAGTGTTAAGTGCTCCTCGAGATGCACTAGTTTGCGGATGGCATACATAGCACAGTCATTCGATTTCTTTGTATGAAGGGCGGTAACGTCGAAGCCCTACACCATGTACGCACTGCTGGCACGCTTATTATGTAGGCGACCCAGGAACCTTTGTGCAATCGTGGGATGGACTAGGACGTTTTTCAACAACTGGGCACGCATTACGGTTAAAATCACATCTTGTTGTCCTATGATTTTGCATGTTGTGTCGTGGATACCATATTCGCAAATTTTAAGTTGCAAGGAATGCTCCACTAGGCGCCCACACGACATAACGGACAAGAGTTAAAGTAAAAGTCACTAGCCTAGCGCAGGATTTCAAAACACCAGCGCGTAAAATTCTTGGAACGTTTTTGATTAGCTTCCAAGATCCAAAAATGATCCGCAAGGAGGACTGTCTTGTTCTCGGGCTTGACCAAGCACCACACCTCGGGCTGATTTCTGGACCTAAGTCAGGCGCATTGCTCGCCCATACGAGTATTCGGGGCTGGTCTTCACCAAATAACTGAACACTTACGGAGAACAAAAAGATGAGTGTCTAAAAAAAGCTGTTTATTGTGCGAATGAAAATTTATGTATGCCTCATTCGAGGAGATGGCTCACTGAGGAAGACCTGACTCGACACGAAGGCGAAGCTGCCACGTCGAGACGAATAACTAGCGTGGACCATCGACTCGGATCATCGGCTCTGAGGAAGACGAAGACGTCGAAACGTTAGACGAAAATAAATATTATTATCAACCTCGTGTAAGATCATCAAAGAAAGAATACATATTGATTAGTGATACCGAGGTTCAAGGAAAGTCGGTTTCGAAAATTTATGTGTTAAATTTCCTCTGTTGACGTCATGAAAGCGTTTGGGTGCATTGACTGCGTGTCAGTTCTGGCTTTGCAGGCTTCGAAGATGGCGAAGCCGCCAAAACGTCAGCAATTGTAGATGAATAAATGCAGTAACAACAACCTTGTGTTTGCTGATTTAAAAAAAGCGAAAGAAAAGCAAGCAAAATTACTTACTTGAGTCAGTCGCGTCAAAAAATTTCACTAAGGATAAAGCGCACATATGATCACGTGGCGAAACTCTCTCTAGCATGGAATAGAACAAGAATTTCGTGACAACACCGTTTCTTCCACTATTAGCTGAAGCATTTCTTCGTGTTTAGCATACTTACTTGCTTGGATACTCTGGTGGTCCATCGTCACTGGTTGTGTGGATCCCAGCATAATCTACATTTTTTCGAAGTTAGCTTGTTTAGCGACTGCGGTTGCCTGGATCCCGAGATCAGCCAACCCAAAGTCTGCCCCAGTCCGTCACCACCACAAGCACTCGTCGCCTTCGTGGATCAAAGGGAGACTTGCCACCATGCTATTAGTTGTGTACCAGGACTGTGGTGGATCCTGGTATTCGCTTACTCTTAGATGGACTTCCTAATAAAAACGCCGGACTCCTTCGCAGCTTGGGAAACCCGGCTGGTGGACTCAATATCCTGGCCATAGACCTTCCCAGCGACGATGAAGCGCAAACCGTTGTGAGGAAATGGCGATAAACCAGTAAACGTTAAAAAATCTG